GCTGTACTCGTCTCAGTCTTTAATTCCGTGACAACTACAGCTTGTAAATATTGTGGGATTGACCGAATTGAAACAAAGCTGACAATATGGGCAGAGTTAGGCTTGCCATTGGGTCTTCTTGATTGGAGCACTGCAACTATTCATGACGGTATGGAAGAGGAATGCTTAGTTGTAAGTCCGACTCCGCCTATATGATCAACGAGAACTAGACCTTCAGCTAGCTAAGATTTCACCAATGCTCACTTACCCCGAAGAGGCCTCAATCCCCATTCTACGTGCTCGTTCCATTGAATGTGATCCCTATATTTCAGTATCAACGAGCAGTGAGTCATTATGTCACAAAGAACTCCGTGCAATTCGATCCTGTTGATTTCGACATTATTGATCACAGTGGCTACCGTATCATGCAAGGTAATCCGAACTTTTAGTGAAACTTATCGTCCTTATCGCGGTGCAGCAAGAGTACGTGACAGGACAATCGGTAATATGCGCTCGCTCATAGGCGAGCGACGTCGCGTCTGCGAGAGACGAGTTGTCCTCTTACAGTCACGCCTCTTGCTGTCCTTAGATGTGGACCGTACAGCTGCCAGAGTAGGCTTCTTGTCTATATGTCTCAGTATGTTTCTTTTCAAGCGAGCCTCTACCCGGATAGCATGATATTGAACGAAGGAAAACGAAAAATCTGTGATGTTATGCTCGCAAATGACGACGATTCGCCTAACTTTATTGCAAAAATCGCACATCCAGTAACGGGTAATTAATTTCAAGTTTATCACTATGTATTATCAACATCTGCATCGCAATTCCATTACTTGTGTTTTTTCACAACAGCCGGTGCTGGGCAAATTATTATTTGATAAGCATGCACCGTATCGAGACCCTTCGCATGATCTTGGCATAGTTGTGAGCTTCTGTCTAGGATAATTACTAGTATAGCCGGACACCAAGATGATTACAACAGGTTTTGATTTCTGGGCCGTCACGTTTCCGGGCTTTTTTGAACGGTACATCGCTCTCAACATGCTTTAGAGGATTAGTTCCACCCTGATCTTTGATTTTTCCAGGCTCTGACGAAGGCGATAAGGCCGAAACGTAAGCCAAATAAAACTGTTGTATCATCTTGGTTCGGCTACAGTAATATCCTAGACAGAAACTCATTAATATGTTGTTTTTTCTGGCTTCCATATCATATTGACACTTTGTCAGCTTAGGCAGGGAATTCAAACTAGATTAAACAGTGGCAGAAAATTGTGATTATTTGTAAAAAACTTGTTATCAGACACCATGTGTTAGAGTTGCATATCGTTCCTATATCAGCGAGCAGTCGGTGCAAGACATGGCAATGGCCTGCCTCGTGTGGTCTTGCGTTTCCACCATGTATAGTACACGGTTCACGTAGAAATCTAAACGAGTGTCACGATAAGTGCCGTGGGTGGGGGCTTATTACTTCTCTCATGAACCGCCCCCGTAGATGGGCGACAATATCAAGTGTTCGTAGGGGTATAGTGCCTTCGATGCGACCTTTTACCCAACCACCCACCAAATTACTCACCAATCTCAACCAATTTTACACGGAATCTGCCCTTGCATGACGAGGTGAGGGGGTGCATGGCAGGCGTTAAAGGATGAATGGGCAATCCAAAAAATTCTTACAAGCCCAAGCACCACAGTCCTCTTCCACCCACACGACTCCCCTCCCCCCCCCCCGATGGGATTCGCACAAAGATGGTTTACTTGTTGCCATTACATCATCTTTGAAATGTAGAGGGGAAGTGAAAGAGAAAAAGGCGGAGGATAAGAAGAGAAGAACTTTGAATATCTAGAAAATTCATAGCTGGTCATTTCATAAAGAGATAAAATTTCAGTTTAGGTATGACAGTATACGAGTTGCGAGAGATTGGTGGCATCATCACAATACAGGCAAATACGGACGAACTAAATGGGTAAATGGTTACACTTTTCTTAATTAATTCGTTCAAAATAACTTTACTTTGGATAAAAGAAACTGGTTTTCAAAATCCGGGAACCGAAAACCAGAAAAGTTTGGGGCGCTGACGTAGTTGGGGGAAGGGTGATCATGCGTCAGTGCCTCCATCCCCTCCCCTAATCAACGCTTACACCCCGATCGCCATTGGTAGAGCAAGGGAGCCGAACGCGGACTCGGATCGCGCTGCTCATGCCGCCTCCGACAGTCCGCAATGATAAGGACTGTAGGTTCAGTGGAAACTACGTCTTATCGCTCGGCAGCTCTTGTCGTCTGCTCTCTGAGGGTGGGCTTCTTTCGGGAAGTGATACACAGGCGTGGTGGAGTGTTCCCCCCCAACCTCAAGTACATCAGCAGCCCAACAGTTTTACAAGCGAGATGGAGAGCTTTGGAAGATGGCTATTCTAACCACAGAATCATAGTAAAAGAGCTCATGAGGAATGTCGATTGAGAAGGGAATTCTGTCCTATTCTGAGAGGTACGGCTCAAAAAAAGGTTCTATGAAAACTCCTAAGCGAGAGTACAAAGCAATTTGAGGGCATGTCGAGAAGCAATAGCCGACTATTATAACAGCAGTTTCATACGCCTATATGAACAATTCGACACACACCAAAGCGTGCAGCTTGTGCAAATACACAAAAACCTATTC